GACATGTGTCCCCCCCCCCCCCAAATAGCTAGCAATCCAAAACAGTCCAGTGGAGCCTGAGCGGGGGTGTTGCTTTCTGACACACTTCCGGTGATGTCAGGGGGTGTGGCATATGCAAATAACTTATGCTAATGAGTTGTGCTAATGAGCTCCTGCACCTCTTCTAGGAAATGTCCCCTGGCCACAGCACACAACGTTCCTCTAAGCTGAGTTAGTGTGAGCTAGCTCACAGTTTTTTAGCCTCCGGCTCACACATTTTTGTCTTGGCTCAGGAAGGACGACTCCAGAGCAAACTAATTTATGCAGTGGTCAAATCGCTCGCTCACAACTTTAATGCCAGTAGCTCACCAAGTAGAATTTTTGCTCACAAGACTCCACAGCTTAGGGGGGAGCATTGCGCAGCAGCCCAGAAGAAATTCTTAGTCACGGAGGCCTAAGCATGAGTTATCGCAATTGCAGAAACTGCTGCTGGGATTAAATCTGATACATTGATTTTAAGTTTGTTTTGAGGAATCCCAGCATTCCTTTGAAGTTTATTCAGGGTTCAGTAAACAGGTACGTAACGGGAAACAAACTTCCCTGAAGGACATCTTGCCCGTTGTTCTTCCATTCCAATTTGCAGGTGTGGAAGAGTGTTGGATTGACTCCAGAATCAGTTGATGTGGGGTGACATCCATCATGCCTCACCAGTGCCTTATATGATCTAGAACATACCCCACAATCCTTTACAGGAAGCTGGGGATCCGTGGCAGATGCACAGGAGTTCCTTGGTCGATAGGTCAATGCTGAAAGAATTCTTTGAGAGTTTAAAAGCCACTACTTTGTCCTGGGACATGGGTATCATTGTCTATACAACTTAAGTCTCCAGCATACTCAGAAACGATCACTGGGGGAAAAGGTTGACTGTATGAACCAGGCTATAGTTTGTGTGGATAGGAAACATGTCAGCTGATTAATGGCATTTCTCTTTCAGGAGTCCATTCAAGTCAATCAACTTCAAGAGTCCAGTAAGTTATTACAAAACACCTTGGAAAATAGATAAGATTTACTGTTGTGTGTAAGTCTCTCCTTCTTCTCTGGGAGAGACAAAATATTTTTATAACTGTTAAGGGATCTTTATATTGTAGTATCTATATATCTAATTCCCAACGGTCCCCTATGTGTGGATTCTTATTTCCGCAGATAGGGAGCATAATCTCCCCCAATAGGTTTGTTTTACAGACTCAGGAAACTCCATGGGTCTACAGAAAAATCCAAAAAGTTTAAAAAAAAAAAACCTTGAGGAGGTTCGAAACCCCCCCCCCCAGTATCTTTTGAAATGGCCTCCGCAGGGATCTACTCCAGGCCCAGTGAGAGATAGCCAAAGAGAGACAGAGGAGAGGAAGCAAAAGCAGGACTGGATCTTGGATTGGGGAGGATTCCTTCTGCTAAATAGCAAGGAGTTTGGGGCCAGTCCTGGGACTAGGATTGCCCGGTCCAGGTTGGGGAATTCTTGGAGATTCTGTGGTGAAGTCTGAGGAGTGCAGAGTTTGGGGAGGGGAGAGGCCTCAGCTGGATATAATGCCACAGTGTCCACCCATTTTCTCCAGGGGATCTGTTGTCTGGAGTTCAGTTGTAATTCTGGGGGATCTCCAGGTCCCACCTGGAGGCAAGCAAACCTAGGCCTAGCAGCACCCTCTGGGTGACTTGAGAAAGGGCTCTTTTTGTAGCAGGGACTCCTTTGCATATTAGGCCACACACCCCTCATGTAGCCAATCCTCCAAGAGCTTACAGAGCTCTTCTTACAGGAGCTACTGTAAGCTCTTGGAGGATTGACTACATTAGGGGTGTGTTGCTTAATGGCTGCTTGCTCCTGTTCAACAGCAGGCACTCTATGAAAATCAGTGTAGTATAATGGTCAGAGCTTCGGGGTAGGGTTTGCGAGACCCAGGTTTAGAACCCCATCTTGCTGTGAAAGCTCACTGGGTGATTTTGGACCAGTCACATCCTTTCAGCCTAGCCTACCTCATAGGGTTGTGGATAAAAAGGAGAGAACAGTGTAAACTGCTTTAGTCCCCACTGTGGAGAAAGACCGTAGTTTTTCTCAGTAGAAGCTGCAGGGGGAAAGGAGATGGAAAGCTGAAGACAGAGAGGCAGATAAAGGTAGGTTGGCTGTTGGGTGGGAAGGAGATAGGGATGCAACTTTCAGAATGCTTGGCTGAATCTCAAGCTCATAAGCAAGGCCTGCTTCTCAGTCCCTGTAGCAAATATTCTGTGCATGTTCTTAACAGTATGTTGACTGATATACTCATCCTGGGAGTACAGAGATACCGAGGGGGGGGAGTTGTTGTTGTTGTTAAGTGCCTGCTGGGGGAGGGGGAGAAGTTGGCATGACTAGTCTTCCGTATTGCACACACCTCCACTGAGGCGAAGATCTGGGGTGAAAGAAGGTATACCGTGATAAGTAGCTTTTAGCCTGAAATCTCTGCAAAGCTTCAGATGTTATGGGTGCATGCTTGCTAATATGCCAGCTTGCAGTGCTTTATCTATAGGGTTACAAAACCTTCCTTGATCTGCTTTCTGATCTGCAAGGTCCTAACTTCAAGTCTGCTGACTCTGATCTGCAAGCAAAAGGAAAACCTGGAGTGTTTGCATCACAGTCTGAAACAGATATCTCTGCTATGATAGTATCCGAGGGAGATCAGGCACGTATAAAACAAATCTTAACCCCAAATAGGCTGCAGCTAAAAAGAAATTTGGCAGCTTCTTTATATCAATTGTTCAGTTTCTTTAATGAATTACTGTTGTTCGGTTTTTAGGAGTCCAACCCATCAGGTATATCTGAAGAGAAAGGTAAGATTTAAAGCCAAATACATCATTCGATAAATATGGAATATTTATAACAGGCACAATAGAACAACGGCTTAAGTTCAGTTTTTCCTCTTAGCATATTTTAATGAGGAAATGGGTGGGGGGTGGAGAGTCTTCCAATAAGCAGTTTGAGTGAGTCACAAAACATTTCCATAGATGTTTCTTGGAAAACTAACAGTGTTAAGAAACTGGTTTTCCTACACAGTTGCTTGTTCAAGGTTTAACGTTGGTTCAGGTTTTTTGGCTTAGTAAAATGGCCTGGTAAAGAGGTCTTGCAAGAGAAAGATTTCCCCCCCCCCTCTGAAAGGAAATAAGCTGTTAGACGCTTCAGAGACATAGATAAGGAATTGGGGAGGTAACCCAGCTGCAGGTCCTTTCATTAGGCCTGGCAACTCCAAGGACATGAGATAGGGGAGGGTGCATTCCATCTTGTTAGCACTTGAGATCATGCATGGGAGAAAGTTGCTTGTATTTGCCCTACACATGATTGGCTAACACCGGGCCTGGGTCATAAAGAAGAGGTTTTCATTTCAGTCTTTGTGGTAAAGCCATTGCTACAAGCTGTATTGTTGACCAAATATGTTGAGCCTCAGGCCACTGCCTTATGTGTTTACTGGGACTGACCCTGTGCTTGGGTTAGCCTGGATGCTGTCTTGTTTGGTGGGTCTTGCTGACTGGAAACCTTGCCCTGGACTTTGGAACCTTCAAGACCTTAGTCTGCTGCTGTGCAATAACTGAAACCTTGAACCATTGTTTGCAAAAGAGTTTCGATTTTTAGCCTTCGTTATTTTTATCCTCACTGTTCACTGCTGTGCTTTAATTATTTCTGCACAATTTTAAATAAATCGCTTTACTTATATCATTGTGGAGTCCTTGAGTTCAGAAGACTTCAGTCTGAATCCAGTAAGAACGTAAGAGAAGCCAATGTTGGATCAGGCCAATGGCCCATCCAGTCCAACACTCTGTCACACAGTGGCCAAAAATACCAGGTGCCATCAGAAGGTCCACCAGTGGGGCCAGGACACTAGAAGCCCTCCCACTTGCCCCCCCACCCAGCACCAAGAATACAGAACATCACTTGCCCCAGAGCCCCTATCTATACATTGTGGCTAATAGCCACTGATGGACCTCTGCTCCATATGCTTATCTAATTCCCTCTTGAAGCCGTCCATGCTTGTAGCCGCCGCCACTTCCTGTGGCAGTGAATTCCATGTGTTAATCACTCTTTGGTGAAGAAGTACTTCCTTTTATCCGTTCTAACTCGGCTGCTCAGTAATTTCATTGAGTGCCCAGTACTTTAGCACTCATTGGCTACAGAGTAATTGTTTGTGAAATTTGCCTTGAAGATGTCCTGCCCTACAAGGGTGACTTTCTTGATTTTAGTTCCAGGAGGTCCTGAGACTTTGTCCCTTGATCTCTGGCTGTCTGGATAGTAGAAGGGGGACTGGTGACAACCCTACCTTGAGATGTGAGGACTCACACTTCAGCTTTTTGGGGGGTTGGTTGTTTTACTTTGACCAGTCCCCATGTTGAGACTTTGGACCTGTTTGGGCTGTTTGGGCTTGAAGTCTCTTGACAAACAGTGCCATCGTAAGAAGGTCTACTCAGACTTAGAGCGGTTTCTCAGGGGAACAGGCTTCCTCAGGAAGTGTTCCCTCGAAAACCTCAGTGGAACAGGTTTCTTTGGGCTTTCCTTCTTTGGAGGTTTTCAGACAGAGGCTAGATGGCCATCTGACAGCAGTGCTGATTCTGTGAACTTAGGCAGATCATGAGAGGGAGGGCAGGAAGGGTTACCTCAGTGCTTAGTTCTTGTGGCCCTTTTTTACATGCCCAGGGAAATGCTGATTGCCACTTTGGGGTCAGGAAGCAATCCTGGAGGTTTTTGGTCATCTTCTGGGCGTAGAACAGCGGTCACTACGGGTGTGGTGGGGGAGGTATTTGTGAATTTCCTGCATTGTGCAGGGGGTTGGACTAGATGACCCTGGAGGTACCTTCCAATTCTATGATTCCTACTTATCCAATGACCTTGTTCTCAGGAGAGTGTTCTCAGGATGTACTGTAAAAGAACAAACAGAAAAATACTTAGATTAACTATGCACACTTACAATAAGCCTGTATGCAATGTTTTGGGCATTTTAATCCTATACAAAAGAAGATGACATCTACATAGGGCAATTACAGTATTTTAAAAGTCGAGCCCCAATGACAGGAGCGCTCTGTCCATGAGTCTTAGCCGCACAATGTGTCTATCGTAGGACTGGCAATAAGCATCGACAAAACTACAAATAAAAGCTTCCCCCCCCCGTTTTGGAAGACTTCGTGCAAGTAGAAGCGGGCTTGTAATTCTGGAAACTCTCATTGGGGCGTGACTTTTAAAATACTGATGCAAAATTGACTGGTAGTTGTTAAACGGAATGAACGGAATATCTGTACCTGACAAGGATGTTATAATAGCACACCATGCACTTCATAGAATGATACTTATAAATAGAACATGTTAATTTGCAAAAGTTTCTTGCAGTGTATATTTTATTCCTTACAAGAAAAAGAACCAGCAGCTTTGCTGTCCTGTGACCCTTGGCTGCCTCTTCCCTCCGCCTCCTACCTAGTTCCCGGCTGCGCTGCACCCTGGTCTGCCCCTGTAAACACAGGGAGGTGGTGAGACTTTCAAAGCAAAAGGTCACTTCTACCTGCAGAGGGGGGGAATACCCTATTCAGAGTTCCGTTCTCTCGAATACATTCCCTGTTAAGCTGGAAACTAACACAGCCTGCAAAGAGCATGAGTGTGCGATGCGATTGTGTTTGCTGGTCCCACTCATGAGGAGGAGGAGGAAGGAGCCATAGTGAGAGGAGATAACCACAGCAGAACGAGGGGGAGCGTGGGGCACGAGCAGTTGTCTTTGCTTGTTCCACCATTCGGGTAAGGGAAGGAAAGCAGCAGCAGTTGCAGAAGGAAACAGCGGGTCCATATGCTGCTCCTCCCCTCCCGAAGGCACCCTGCAACCTCAGCGTGCCGTACTCCTCCCCTCCCCACGAAAACAGCTTGGCTTTGGTCGGATGCTTGAATTTTTGGAGGGGCCCTACTCTGCGGTGATGTAGAGTCCACCCTGAGCTGTGTAAATCACGCTGCCTGTTGAGGTCAGGTCAGCATTGTGATTTTCTTTGGCTCTTCACCTTGGCGGCTCCGCTTGACCCTGCTCGGCTTTTTCCGGCTTCACTCGGCTCCAATCAGTCGTTTTGGATGTCTGTCAGCTCTGCTTGACTCTGTCCGTCACAGCCAGAGGCTGCCTCGTGTGCTGCGGATGTCTGTCAGCTCTGCTTGACTCTGTCAGTCACAGCCAGAGGCTGCCTCGTGTGCTGTGTATGTTTGGGGACAACGTATGTCTGTGAACAGCTCTTGTCTTTAATGAATGTCAATAAATTAAAAGTACATTCGCAGCTGACAGATACACACCTGAACAGCGGACTCAGCGTTTCCACAGCACAGACTTGGTCTCCAGATTTTGATGCAATAACTTAGAGCAAGAGGTGTCCGTTATCAGAGACTGTCAAACAAAATATTACAAGAGTGTTACTGTTTAAAGCACTTTCGTATTTTAAGTAAAAAACAAGATCTTTAATTGCGTTTGTCTAAGTGGTTAAGACACTGAACTGCAGGCTGTGGAAGGTCAGTAGTTCAAGACCCGAGTGTGCCGCATGACGGAGTGAGCTCCCATCTCTAGTTCCAGCTCCTGCCAACCTAGCAGTTCGACAGCAAGAAATTGCAAGTAGATAAATAGGTACCACTTTGGTGGGAAAGGAACAGCGTTCCGTGCACCTTGGTGTTTAGTCATGCCAGCCACATGACCACGGAAACGTCTTCGGACAGCGCTGGCTCTTCGGCTTTGAAACGGAGATGAGCACCGCAACCCTGGAGTCGGACTCGACTGGCTTTCGAGCAAGGGAACCTTTACCTTTACCTATGTCCTTTATAAAGTTTATATCTCCGCTACCTGGCATTACATTTTATGACGCACATGGCCCAGCCTGGCAAAGTCCCATTTATATCAGATCTGGCCCTCGTAACAAATGAGTTCGACACCCCTGCTCCTAGGCCTAGTATTAGAAGTCCAAGATGGCTTATTCTCCCTGTGAGGGTAGGTATGCCTCACTCAGGTGTCATTGTACCACCTGATGTTGGTAGTCCTTGCAGGGAAAAGTCAACGTGGCAGGGCATCTTTTTTACAAAGGGGAGGGTTAATATAATATACACAGCTGCTATGAGAACCCATGGCATTGCCTCATACTGAATCAGGCCACTGATCCATCAAGGACAGTACTGTCTACTCAGAATGGCAGTGGCTCTCCAGAATCTCAGGTTAAGGTCTTTCACATCACCTACTGGTGGTGGAAAGTGTTGCCAAGTTGTGATGTACTCAATCTGACCAAAGTATGTATGTGAACTCTGTCATTGAAACACCATGTGAAGCTTTCATCCTGGGCTAGGATTCTAATCCCTCACTTGTAATTGGTAGCCCAGGAAGAACCGACCAATCACCAACAGCCAGTTCCAAGAGCGGGAACTATTGTGATTGGACCTTATCCCTGCAACCTCATAGGTTGATATTGTATAATAGGGCGTGGCTACATTAGCCGGGAGAGTTTAAAAGTAGAACAGCTTCAGTGTAAAAGCTGTTCTGGCTATTCATGTTGATCTGTTTGGAGTTGAGTTACGAGTTGCTGAATAAAGCTGATCTTTTGCTGAAATCACTCTCTGACTCTTTGTCAAGAAACCGACTTAACACAAGTCACAGGCAACTTAATGGTGACGTGGTTTTCAAGTCAAGAGGTGTTCATGTTTGCCACTGCCTGCCTCCGTATAGCTACTCTGGTGGTCTCCCATCCAAGTACTAACTGGGACTGATACTGCTTAGCTGCTGGGCTACTCAAGTCAGGGCCATGACTTTCTGTTGTATCTCTTAAGCGAGAGGTGCTGGGGATCGAACCTGAGACCTTCTGCATGCCAAGCAGATACTCTACCCTTGAGCTTACGGCCCTGGGTAGCGTCAAGAGGGTGTAACTTTTAATCTCAGCCTTCCACTTTTCAGTTGTTGAATCTGGCTTATTTAATTTAGAACACCGTTTTAAATACATCATGTGGCGTGGGCTTCTAATCGATGGAATCACATTGTCCTTCCCTGCTTTTTTTTTTTTTTTTAAATTTCAGGCTCTCCAGAAAGTGATGCAGGAGACATAATAAAGCAAGAAGAATTCCGTGTAGAGATAGTGACAGCTGCTGGGGAGGAAATCGAGGAGGACATTGTGGAGATGTACTTTGAAAATAAGAAGCGGTCTGGTGGGGGACCCATTAAGTCCTGTGTTAAAGATGGCCAACGATTAATTATTACTTTTGAAAAGGAAGAAGGTATTGTTATGAGGAGAGTCTTCTGGGATATGCGGTTCGGTTAGCAGAGGGCCTTGTGCTGGGGGAGAGGTTAAATATGTGGAGGGGAGGGGTTCTGTGCTCCTGAAATACACAGCTAACACTACAAGGATATATGCAGAGATGGCCTGATCCCTACACCGAAGTAGTTGTGTTTTAGTTTGACCACATTTGGGCTGTTGGCACGGCAGCCGCTTAGAAGAAGAAGAGATTGGATTTATACCCCGCCCTTCACTACCCAAAGGTGTCTCAGAGTGGCTTACAAACTCCTTTTCCCTTCCCCTCCCCACAACAGACACCCTGTGAGGTAGGTGGGGCTGAGAGAGCTCTGGACAGAAACTGCTCTTTTCAAGGACAGCTCTTACCAGAACTACGGCTTGCCCAAGGTCATCCAGCCAGGTACAAGTGGAGGAGTGGGGAATCAAACCCGGTTCTCCCAGATTAGAGTTCGTGCACGTAACCACTACACCAAACTTAGTGATCTCTCATGTGTGGTGAGGCAACAGTAGATAAATGGTTCCTAGGGAATTTGTTTGGGGATATGATCATTTTTAGACAGTTAAATACATTAATTCAGGTGGGTAGCCATGTTGGTCTGTTGCAACAGAACAAAGTTTGAGTCCGGTGGCACGTTTAAGACCAACGAAATTTCATTCAAGGTATAAGATTTTGTGTACAAACCCACTTCTTCAGATACAGTGAAACAGAATTTCCTCAACCATTACATATATAGAGAGGGTGGAAGGGTGGTTGCCAGAAAGGGCATGTTCGAGTCAAGATGCATAAGTGCTGGGTGATTATATCTGAGATTGGATTAAGGTGGCTGGTAAGATCTGTAAATGGCAGTAAATTAGCATTCAGATAAAAGAGTTTACAAAATTGTTTGGGTAAAAAGGAATTACAGTACTGCCCTGTATGGAACTGTTGGGTTATCTGAACCTGAGGACAATGATCCCATGGAATCCATGTTTTTTTATTTCAGGCTGCTACACGTTAACTTTATTAGACGCTCCAAGCGGCAGTGCTGGTTTAACTAGAAAGCTGACCATAGCTAAGAATCTGTGGGTAATACACATTGTGGTGGATCAAGGAAGGTCATTTCCCTTTCCTGTAAGAAATATGTGTTGGGCATTTTAAACCACCACCTTTAACTGTTGAGTCATTTAAGAACATAAGAGATGCCAATGTTGGATCAGGCCAAAGGCCCATCCAGTCCAACACTCTGTATCACACAGTGGCCAGAAATACCAGTGCCATCAGGAGGTCCACCAGTGGGGCCAGGACATTAGAAGCCCTCCCACTGTTGACCCCCCCAAGCACCAAGATGACAGAGCATCACTTGCCCCAGAGTCCCTATCTATACCTTGTTTGGCTAAAGAGACGCTAGAAATATCACTGTTAAGTACTTTTCCCAGATTGTGTGCTAGGAATAGGAGGGCTATCCTGTGATCTTGAGCAGATTGACATGGTGGTGTGAGGCAGGTTTAAGTGCTAAAATATTCTGAGCTTAGGTTTGGGTTTGGCATTCAGTTTGGTGGCTGGATGATGAAGGTCCGTTCAGTATTTTGTTTTTCTTTCTGCCTCTGTTCAATCAGATGCTCAAGAAGTCTTGCGAAGAAAGAATCACTCGGTAAAGAAAATTGCACTTCATGTCCAAGAATGTCTGCCAGGGACTCCTCAGCCACTAATGCTGACTTCTCTAGTTGCGCTTGAGAATGTGCAGGAGACCATAGACCAATGCACGCTGGTTCTGTTGGTAGAAAATGTCAGTGGCTTATCCGAAGAAGACCGTGATTTCAACGTGGAGATAATACCTGAGAAAAACGCTGCTGTTATTACTCTCATCAAGCCTAATGGTAAGCGGAAAGGGATAACTAAGCCTCAACAAGAGCCAGCTGGCCGTAAAGGAAACCACAAGTGGGTAGATTCTAGGAGGAGAAGTGGAAGATGTCAACCTCTTGATTCTTACTGAAATGCTACTCCCTAATAGAGAGCTAGGAGCTGCGGTGGCTCAAGTGGTTAAGACGCTGAACTGCAGGCTGTGGAAGGTCGGTAGTTCAGCAGTTCGAGATCCGAGTGTGCCACATGACGGAGTGAGCTCCCGTCTCTGGTCCCAGCTCCTGCCAACCTAGCAGTTCGAAAGCAAGAAATTGCAAGTAGATCAATAGGTACCACTTCGGTGGGAAGGTAACAGTGTTCCGTGCGCCTTGGCGTTTAGTCATGCCGGCCACATGACCACGGAAACGTCTTCGGACCGCGCTGGCTCTTTGGCTTTGAAACGGAGATGAGCACCGCAACCCTAGAGTCGGACTCGAACCTTTTAATAGAGAGCTATTAGCCAACAACGTGAGTCAGAAAGCAAATGCCAGCCAATTCAAAATAGGCCTGTTGCCACAAAAAAATTTTGGACTGGTTGCTACGACTAGAAATTTAGTAATTGGCTTGCTCCTATTCAAGTACTTGCAATGGAACTGGAAGAGAATTTGACTAAGAAGAAAACAAATAAGAAGCTATACTGTTTTTAAAAAGAAACTAAGCTGAATCAAGAGGTTGACATCTTCCAACTTTAGAAGACTTCTTACTCATGAAGAAGATTGGTGAAATGAGTGTAAAAACCGGTGTGCTCATCGAGGATATGATTATGTTGGACTTTGCTTTGCCTATGCCTGAATTCTTTTACCATATTGTAAGATTAATAGCGTCACAAATGGATGCTCATAGAATTATTAAATATGTCATTCTTAATTTCACCACGGTGGTTTTTGGTCTGTTGGCATTGTTTCCGGACTGCCATTTTTATTGGGTTTAAACTTCTTGTCTGTATGAATGGAAGGGTAATACAGGGAGCCAGCTGAGAGGGGTGGTCCTTGAACCTGTATCTCTGGATCAGGATGAAATGATGGCAGGCAGGGGAATTGAATGGGTCTTAATGACATGGGGGTAAACCAGGTAAACTGGTAGCCAGAATGAAGATACAAGTATCCTCGGGATAACTGGGTGAATAGAGACTGCAGGAGACGTGGTTATTGGGAGGAATTACTGAAGGAGTTGAGGAGGGAGGAATGTGCCATTAGTGTAGAGATGCAACTTAATATTTTTGAAAATCTGTTCACAGACATAGACCAGTTCATCAAGGCATTCAATGGCTACCGTCGGGTTAAACAGCTGAACATTTCCGCACGTTCTCTGGAGGTGACCAGAACTATCTTAGTTGAAAATATCCCTTCTGACATTACCAGCGATTTTATTACTTTGTATTTTGAAAGCAAGAAGCATGGAGGTGGGCCAGTGTCCGAGGCCAATTATCTTCCCAACAAGAACTTAGCCATCGTTACTTTTCAGTATAGCAAAGGTAATCTGCCATTAATGTACCTTCTGAACTATGTTTGGGCTAGCAAAAAACAAACCAATAAACAACACTCCACACGATTTAGGTAACTGGTGGGAAGGAGGAGAAAATGTTAACCTTGTCCGGTTTCCAGGTTTCCTAGGAGGGTAGTTAATGAATCTTAATTTGCTCTTTTGAATTCTTGGCTTCCATTTGAGAGGATAACATTAGCATGAGTAAGGAAGAGGATGTGTAATTTTCCCCCCCCAAAACATTTTATTAGGATATAATAACAGATTAAACACGTTTTCAAATGGTCATACATCCTTTTCTCCTATCTCCCACCCCTTTCTCGGCTTCCCACAGTGCTCCAACCTCCAGCCCATATCTTAAATTTACTCCATATCTCCCTATACCTTTATCACAATCTACCAGTAACATACCATTTTACTATTATTCATATACATTTTTTTTCTATTGTCATCTACCTTCAATAATTATCAAAGTAAATTAAATTGTTCTTAACATCCCAGTGTTTCTCTAAATATTCTTTAAAGTCTTTCCAATCTTCAAAGAACTCTTCTGCGTCCAAATTATTAAGCTTCCTTGTTATTTTATCCATTTCAACCATAAAGAGCAGTTTCTTTATCCATGGAAGAGGATGTGTAATTGAGGGCTGTCATGTCATACTGGTAAGTGGAGCTAAGGGTGCAGGTAAGGAGGCATTTGACTTTCTGACCAGAAAGCAAGTATTCATTGAAGAAGCAAGACAGCAGATAAGACAACAGGAAAAAACAGTCCTGCTCAGCCAGTTCTGTTTGAATAATTGGAAGAACTAGCTGGCTTGTAATTCTGCCATTTTGAGACTAGCAGATTGATGTTTTGGTCTCTTTTTTACACTTTCACGGTAAATTGGCTTCCATCTAACTTGGGGCCAGGAAGCTTGACATCAGGAGGAGAGGGTAGAAATCCCTGTTGCTTATGGCCCCAATCCTGAAGAACCTAGTCTACTCTAGAGTTCTTGTAGCTACAGGCAGAGTAATGCAAAAAATTGAGTTGGATCAGGGGAGACCACGGTACAAATTGCTCTACACATAAAACCATACCTGGCAGCTTTGGGAATATTGCATTCTTACCTCGAAACAGTTTTGAAGCTTGAAAATATTTTGTGTAGTGAAATATCCTTAGTTGGGTGGGCAACAGCCTGGAGAAAAAAACTGTCCAGTCCCTTTAACGGAGCCTTAATGGGCTGTTATTTACCTCCATACCATACAAAGCTTCAGCTGCCCATTTCCACACATCAGTTCTCTGTTAAAGTGGCAGGACGTTGTTTTTCCAGACAGGTGGTAGAAAAGACAAGTGGGAAACCTGAAAGCAGTGGCAGGGCTTACTTCATTTTCCGTGTATCCCTTTCCCAATGCTATTTCCTCTTTCTTTCCTCCTGGCAGCCCCCATATCCTCTCCCCTTCCCCTGTTCCCTTCTTCCCTTCTTCCCTTTCTTTTATCTGCCTGCCAGGGCTCTACTGGTAGCAGGAGCTCCTTTGCATATTAGGCCACACACCCCTAGTGTAGCCAATCCTCCAAGAGCTTACAGAGCTCTTCTTACTGGGGCTACTGTAAGCTCTTGGAGGATTGGCTACACTAGGAGTGTGTGGCCTAATATGCAAAGGAGCTCC